TGGTATTTTTATATGGAAACCAGTAAGTCTGATGTTTTTCCTTTTTAAGTGCATCATCCTCCCATTGCAGTGCTTTATTAATAATAACAGCCCTGGCTGGCTTGGGAGTGTTGGCCCATGGACCAAAGAGACATGGGTTCGATTCCCAGTCAAGGGCACATACCTTAGTTGTGGGTTCGACCCCTAGCCCAGTTGGGGTCATACGGGAGGCATTTTATCAATGTGTCCCTCCCACCTTATCTAAAAAAATCAATGAAAAAATATTCTGGCGTGAGGATCAAATAATAACAATAATAATAATAATAGCAAACTCTAGTGACAGGCCTCCCACAAGATCCAGACAGCCCAGTGTGTCATACACTGACACTGGGAACTTTCTTCCACTGTCTCTCTCTCAACTTGCAGTGTTGCAAATTTGCTATTTAATGTCATTCTGAGTAAAGAAAAATCAAAAGTTTAATTTATTAGCACGAATTTTACCATTTATCCCTATACTGTGCAATGCCAGCCTTAAGTATAAACACAGGAGCAGTTAGCGGCCGTGCAGAACCTCCGGAAACCGCGGCATTTGCAGTTCGTAGCTCCCGTAGGCATGTGCATTTAGTCCTTCACCAGAGCAGAGTAAATGCCACGCCAACCGAACTCAACTATTTCTACTTCCCGGCTTCATATGTACGCATCCTGCTACCACTCTCCACCTTTGGCTCACAGATAGAAACGACAGTCCGAAAAGAAAGGGAACCACAGGCTGTCTTCTCGTTCCCTTTCCCGCTTGTCATCACGGTCAGCATGCGTTGTTGCTGCGCAGAGAAGTAGCAGGAGGAAGGAAGGCGACCCCAGGGCTCTGTGGTCGATCGTGTTTCTGTGGTCTGAACAATTTGGTTCGAACAGAAGGGATGGCCTGTCGGGCTGTCAGCTCTTCACCTACCCAGTGCTCACTGTCCCAGGCGTCGGTGTTATCCCTGCGTCCCGCTGACTCCCGTGCGCCCTGGGCCCCGAATCCTGTGCTCGCGGGGCCGTCCGAACGCTGTATGTGAATGGGGCAGCAAGGACAACCAACACGCCTTCGACACCCGTCTCTCGGCTCACTGCGTGCTCCATTGTCCATCCAACTTCATTTACAGGACAAAAGTTCAAAGATAAAATTATTAAGAATTTCAAGATGGCAACAGCAGAGATTTAACCCAAGCTCAGGACCTGCTTGAGCACGGCCCCTGCATGGTTGTCAGGTCACATACCCATGAAGCCAGCCCTGCCCCACGGCCTCTGCTCCCACCACACTGGCCCTGATGTTCCTTGGCCTGATATGTTCCTTCCGGTAGAAGGGCCCTACAGCGTCTGTCGCAATGCCCTGACACTCAGTTCCCTTCTTCATGGCCTGAGTGTGTTCCTCTCTCCCCTCCTGTGGTCTCAGCTCCCCCGCCACAGCCTTCGGTTTCACCCTTAGGTTAGCCCTCCTGCCTGACCAGGTTGGAACACTCCCAACGCCAACCACCTACCACAGCCACCTTTCTTTATTTAGGTGTGTGGTTCTCTGGTCGCTTAGTTCTCTCCCTCCGGGTCTGCGGCAACTGGTAGGTCAGGACTGGTCTGGTTTCCTCATCGCTGTTTTCACCAGTGCTGGGAACATCGTTACTAATACATGTTTAGGAGGTGAATGAATGAATGAATGAATGAATGAATGAATGTCTTTGCACCCGGAATGTGTCGGAATGAAGAGGGATAAATGAGAGTGACATGAATTCCAGGTTTTGTTCCAGGGGACCTAAATCCTGTCTCAGTCTGGGCTCGTGGAAACGAAGTGGGCATCACACTGCCCTTGTTGACGGTCTCGTCTACTAAGTGGCTTAGGGAGAGGGTATCCTTACATTTTCAGGTGCGCAAGTCCTTCTCCTTGTGTCTCCAGGCCCAGCATTGTGCCTGGCCCTTAGTCAGCTCTCAAAAACTACAGGGTGTCCCCTGGCCGGCTCAGCGGTTAGAGCATCAGCCCGAGGACCAATGAGTTGCAGGTTCAATTCCGGTCAAGGGCATGTACCTCAGTTGCAGTTTGTCCCCAGCTCTGGTCTGGTTTGGGCGGGAGGCAACCAGTCAATGTGCCTCTCTCACATCAGTGTTTCTCTCTCTCTCCCTCCCTCCCACTCTATCTGAAGATAAATAGAAAAATATCTTTGGATGAGGATTTAAAAAAAAAACAAACAACTACTGGGTATATTGAATTGAATTGAGCTGAATTTACTAAGGTGAAGCTATGTAGCCCCGAGTTTACTTCATGTCGCCCTTCCTGTGTCCCCTCTTCCCCCTCCTCTTTCTCCTTTCCCTCCTTCCTCTCCTCTCCTCTTGTGAAGGATTTCTGAGTCTCGAGAACAACTTTAATTGCCATCAAGTATTTCCAACAGAAAATTACTCTCTTTTATTTTGGGTTGAACTGGACTCTTCAAAAAGAAATGGTCTGGCCCTGGCCGGTTTGGCTCAGCGGTTAGAGCGTCGGCCTGCGATCCTGAGAGACCCGGGTTCGGTTCCAGCAGAGGGCGCGTGCCTCGGTTGCAGTTTGTCCCCGGCCCTGGTCAGTTGTGCGGGTGGCAGCCACTCGATGTGTCCCTTTCACATCGATGTTTCTCTCTCTCTCTGTTCCTCTCTCTCCCTCCCACTCTACCTGAACAAAAAAATGGGAAAATGTCCTCGGGTGAGGATAAAAAAATTAATAAATAAATAAAAAACAAAAAGAAATGGTCTGATTGGTTTTATAATCATGGCTGTTTGGGCGCCCAGAGAATGCCCGAGACCCGTCTGGACATATTTGGTAGTAATATCCCTATATTGGCATTGATCTCTGGATAGAATCACAAGGCAGGCACTTTGGAAGTTCATCCATTTAAGCCCCAGATAATTCTGAGCAGAAATCACTTGAGGATGGGGTTAATCCAGCCGTCCCGCCTAAGGGTTGCGGGGGCTCTGTCAGGGAGGCTGTTGGCAGGTTTCGGGCGATCTGAGCACCAGCAGGGTGATGGGAACCAGCCTCCTCGTTAGCGCCCGGGCCACAACCTGTCTGTTCTGTCCAGAATTCCACAGCTCCGTTTGAGAATGGCCGGGAGGGGAGGTAGTGAAAATGGAGTGTTCATAATGAGATTGAGGATCAATGAAATAATAAAAATCAAAAGCCTAAGGGTACGTTTGTTATCGATTGACCATCTCAGAAAACATTGTTAGTAAGAGATCAGGGCATGCTTGCTGTATGTAAACTGGGGCATTTGTCCCTGCGTGAGGCTTGAATGGGGATATAGAATGTGACAGAAAGCAATTCCCATGGTGGTCCCTCAAAAATTATGGGGCTGCCCTGGCCAAGTGGCTCAGTTGGTTGGAGCATCCTCCCTTACACCAAAGGGTGGCAGGTTTGATTCCTGGTCAGGGCATATACCTAGTTTACAGGTTCAATCCCCAGTCGGGGAGCATGCTGAAGGCAACCAATTGATGTTTCTTTCTCACATGGATGTTTCTCTCTCTCTCCCCTCACCCTTTCTCTTTCTCTAAAATCAATAAAAACATATACTCAGGTGAGGATTAACAAAAAAGTTATCGGCTGCTTGGAAACGGGACAGTAGAGTCATGGACTTAGAAGTCAGCCATATCTGGGTTTAACACCAACTTTAGCTCTGCGACCTTGACCAAGTAATGACCTCTCTGATCGTTTTTTTTTTTTTAATCTGCACAAACTGGTATAAAACCTCTGCCTTACAGGTTTGTAATGAAGATCGAAAGCGGGCACCTGGGTGGGGGTACAGAGCCTGGCACCTGGCACAGAGCAGGCATGCAGTCATGTTATCCCTTCATCTCACACGGTCACTTTGCAACAGCTGGGCAGGTGCCTGGTCACCCTGAGAGTGAGGGCCCCCTGGTTCCAGCAGTGCAGCTGGGGCAATGTGAAACCAGGGTTGGGGTATCTCAGGGTAGATGTCCTCCTCCCAACATTACCTCCTGGCCCATTTTACAAGTGACACAATCGAGACCCAGAGAATCAATGTAATTTGACTAATTCAGTGAGTCAGTAGCAAACCTGGAATTTGAATCCAGACCTCTGGGCTCTAAGCCTGCATTTTACTTCCCGGCCACCGACCTACAGCCAAATGCCTTGTTGCCCAGGCCCTGACCCTCACATGCTGCTTTGCACTCTGGGTGGTCTTTCTGGACATCGAGACATTGTCTCCCCGACCAATGTGCAGCGGCCCTCAGTGCAGGAAGGGAACAGGCTTGAACTTCTCAGCACCTCCCAAGGCACACAGTGCAGGGCTTACTTGCAGTCAGGGTTCAAGAAACAAATATCCATCAATTGAGACAAGGAAGATATTTTCATAGACATATCATTGTAATGCAGAGAAATAGTTATAATGTGCATTAACCCAGCTGAGGGGGAGAAATGCATTAATTTCACAACATGTTCAGCCCTTTAAGAAGTTAGCTTCTCAGGCTCCACAGGAATTCTGGAACTCACAGACTCACCCCCACTGTTGTGAGAGAAGATTGCAACTCGGAGTGGAGACCCCCTCCCCACAGGGAAGTGGTGGGTGGAGAGACACAGAGGCAAGCGGGGGGGGGGGGGGGGGGGGCGGCACCATAGGGTGTTTAAACCAGAAGCAAAGGACAGAGCAGAACAGTGCGGCTCATGTTTATCAAGCAAACAAATCACCTGGAGACCCAGTTAAAATGCAGATTCTGACGCAGGAGGCCTGGGTGGGACCTGGGCATCTGGATTTCTAACAAGCGGCCAGGGGATGCTCCTGCTGCTGTTCAAAGCATACTTTCCAGTAGCAAGGCTGTGGGCCCAGGACCAAAGACTGAACGTTTGGGCCTCTTCCTCTCTTCCTCTGCAGTCATTTTTCTTTTGACTGTGGACACATTTTGCATCTCAGACTGGGCAGAGGGCAAGCAAGAAACCTGCTCGGAAAAGGAGGAAACCGGATGATCTGCCAGCTCCCGGCGCATGACTCTCCCCTTTTTCCTCCCAGATACACTTGTTGGGTGACATTTCCACGCCCATCTGCGACACGGCGGCGTTGGGCCAGGTCTCCGGAGGCCGCCTCGGGCCTGGCAGCCTGTGTGGAGGAAATGGCCTGCAGGTGTCAGCTTTGCAAACCCGGCAGCAGAAGCTCTGTCCCCAGTAGGGCCGTTCTCAGGACCCCACTCACTGCCTTCCATCCTTCTGCAGGGGAAATTTGTGCGTTCAAGATCCACGGCCAGGAGCTGCCCTTTGAGGCCGTGGTGCTCAACCAGACGTCGGGAGAGGGCCGGCTCCGCGCCCGGGGCGCCATCGACTGCGAGCTGCAGAAGGAGTACACGTTCATCATCCAGGCCTACGACTGCGGCGCGGGGACCCGGGCGGCCGCCTGGAAGAAGTCGCACAAGTGAGTCCGCCCGTCTCTGTCACGTGCTGTTCTCCAGCCATGTCCCCAGTGGTCGCACCACGATGCTCAGCCCGCTCTACTGCTGGCCGGTTTCCCCGGCCCTGGCAGGCATCGGCACCGGCGCTTCCCACAACTGAAACTCTCTACCCCCAGTTCACAGGGAGACAGCCCTGTCCCACCATCGGAACTGAGATCACGTGTCACTTCGTCTGGGAAGCCTTCCCTGAGCCAGGCCAGCCCTGCAGACCTGGTGGGGGCCGTTCCCTGGGTTCTGCCATGCCACGTGCCGCTCCGTCCCAGACTTTCCCTTTGGGGTTGTAACTCTCCCTACGGAGTTTGACTCCGACGCGAACACGGAGTAAGAGTGTTCACTTCTGGCTCAATGGAGCAGTGAGTGAGCAATGCAGGAATGACTAAGGAAAGGAGAAACGATCCAGAGGAATGCTGGTGCCTAGAGCTGGGGGACATGGAAGGTCCAAGAACGGGAGGCGTCCCTCCGGGGTGGCTCATTGCAGGGGATAGGGCGAGGGCAGGTGGAGGGTCTCCAGAGAGGGAGGACGGAGCACTCAGACTGCAACTGCCCTGACCGGCTTGTGGTTTCTCCACTTCCTTGGTGTGGAGGCCTGAGTCGACGCCCATGGGAGGTGGGGAGGATGGTGTGATGCTTTCTTTACCACCATCCCTTCTTTGCTGTGTGTCGTGCCAGGGCGGTGGTCCACATCCAGGTGAAGGACGTCAATGAGTTTGCGCCCACCTTCAAAGAGCCGGCCTACAAGGCCGTGGTGACCGAGGGCAAGATCTACGACAGCATCCTGCAGGTGGAGGCCGTGGATGAGGACTGCTCCCCCCAGTACAGCCAGATCTGCAACTATGAGATTGTCACCACCGATGTACCTTTTGCCATCGACAGAAATGGTGAGTGTCCTGAGAGGCCCCAGTGGGGGCAGCAAAACAGCCCGCCTCCCCCATTCTGAAGGCCAAGTGGGGAACTGAACCTACTCAGTGAGCGATGCCTTCCTTGCCATCCCTGATTTGGCTCTGTAACCCAGAACTCAGTCCTGCACTAGAGGGACAGCCTGACATTACTGGCAGCCCAGCCAGGTGTAAAACATCCCTCCAAGACACCTACTCAGTGAATAGAGTCTGTAAAACCCACAGTGCCACTCATCTGGGTACTGCAGACAGGTTGGTTTCCTGGCAGAATTTTTCGGTGAGTCATGCCATCAGCTCAGCCATGTCTGAGTTCCTGTCTTACACAACCAGGTGTGACATTACCCCACCACAACAATCTGCTTCCTGCTTCTAAACAAGGGGGTGCTAAAAGAGGAGGTGGAGATTTTTGAGACACCTTAGAAGCTGTAGATCCATTCAGGAATTTTTACATATATCTTCAGATAGAATGGGAGGGAGAGAGGGGGGAAGAGAGAGAGAGAAACATCGATGTGAGAGACACATCGACTGGTTGCCACCCACACGACCCCAACTGGGACCGGGGACAAACTGCAACCGAGGTATGTGCCCCTAACGGGAACCGAACCCGGGACTCTCCGTTCCGCAGGACGATGCTCTAACCGCTGAGCCAAACCTGCCAGGGCCCATTCAGCAATTTTTAAAGGTCTTGCCAAAGTCCTTTGAGAATTTTCACCCTAATGAAAATGAAGGATGGAAGAACCCTCCCACACCCCAGTCCCAAACTGAACTTACTGAACTAAAAATGGTTCTAATAAAGCCACCTGGACATTTCTCCCTCACCACCCATTAAAAACTCGTTGTGGTGTAAACATGACAGCCAGAGGCCCAATCACTCAGCCCACTTTAACTGCAATTTTCAATAACTTGATGTCAGTCAAAGGATAATTATTTGCCAACTATTTTTTCATTGTTACCGTGAGTGTTTGGGTACATGCACATTGTCCCACTTTGTTTCAAATAGGATTCAAGTACTGCACAAAGACTCGAAACGTTGCAAAACCCAAGGTTTATTCACCCTGTAAATATTGCAGTTACTCAGTGCCAAACACAGTGCTGGGAACTGGGAATGGAGACAGAGTAGAACCTAAAGCAGACATGGGCCTGCCCACATGCAGCTCACCATCTAGTGGGGGAGGAAATCAAAATAAAAGGTACAAAGTCAAGTGGCATCAAGGGTCAGGTATGCAAAGCACACCATGAAGCAGCGCAGGGCACCAAATGAGCTCTGAGCTCCCTGGTAGCCAGACCTAGAAGGAAACACCATCAGCCACCTGCTGACAAGTCTTCAGTGCTTCCGATGCTTCTTGGTGGTGAGACCAGGGAGAAACGTGCCCTATGACATTGTCTTCTGCGTCCGGAGAGCTGCAGCAGATTCCAGAAGGATGGAAGCCAAGAGGAAACCCTCCTGCCTGATCTCCAGTGGTCGGTGATGTGTCTTGTAAGAGGAAATCAATTTCCCTAACATGGACAGAATAGTACTAAGGCAGTGTCCTTATAAAATGCTAAAACACAAGGAAGTGACGCACACCTGGACATAACTAGGTGTTAATTGTGTAGGGCACAAGACCAGTGCATAAGAAAGTAAGATAGAAAATACCAGACTTCAAGTAAAGTTTAGTTCAGGACTAAGAAACAGATCATTTCAACTAGTAGAGTGTGTCAGAACTGCTCTCTAGTAGCTTTTCCTATCGACAAGTGGCCCATCCCCACCACGCAGACACACATCTCAACACACACACACACACACACACACACACACACACACCACTTCATAAAATATAAAACAACTCTTTTGAATTTTTCTGTTCCGATACGATCAGCTGTTTGGTCTATGTCCACAAATACAAGAATTTGGGGAGTGACAAGTCCCTGATGAAGAGCAGGACTAGAGAAGGGGGCATCTGTGATGAGTGGTCCAGCTCCCCTTGACCTCCTCCCTCAGTGCTCGAGAACCACAGGCCAATGAGAGATGAGATGCAAATTTTTTCATCAGAGGGTAAACTGCCCCAGCCATGAAGATAATTACTCACCTTGATGAGCCATTTCGCTAACATATGCCAATTTATTTCCCTAGCTGTCTCATTAAAAGTGAGTAATGGTTCTTTGCCAGGCCTCTGCCTCCAACGTTGGTACGACACAAGATGAAGAGGAGAGTGGGCACTCCCAGGGAGTGCGGGCCCTGACAGGGAGGTTTACAAAAGCAGTTCTCTAACTAATGAAGGTAGGACCTAGGGCCAGACGCAGAAGTGGCTTCCATTCTAATGAGCCTCCCAACTGGCCCTTCTCCATCACTCTTCCAGCGACCTCCCAAGCTCCTTGAAGGGGCTCTTTGCATGCATATCAGAAAAAGTATGGCTGAGTTGGGGCCCACTCATCTAGGCCGCATGGCTTCAGGGGGATGGCTCCTGGCCCCTCCAATCTGGCAGGCTTCTGGCTTGTGGGGGAAGGAAGGGGAGCAGGGTGCAGAGACGAGAGAAGACAACATGGAGGGAGAGAGACCTGTCCTAACTGAAGACTCGACCTCTTCCAGCGGAGTCCTAAGCCTCCCTCCCCTGTGAAATCCTGGAGCTGCCGTTCCTGCCCACTGTGGGGTTGGGAGGCCTCGCGAGAGGCAGTGCCCGGAGATGGTGCTTGGAGGGCACGTGGTGTAGACAGAGCTCAGCTCACGGTGCCATGACGATTAGATGTTTACCTGGGCGACGGGGACGAAGGTTACTCACTCACTCCCCGTGGGTTTCCAGGCTGAAAGTAGGAGCAGGTAACTGAGCTGGTGACATCTCCCCCCTCTTAGAAGGTTCTAGATTGATTTCTGATGGCTGCCAGGCCCCCATCTTCTGACACTCGGCCAGTTTATTGGAGATTGGTGGGGCCTAGATGCTCATTTCCCCTGAACAGATGGAAAACTGAGTCCTGAAGCATAAAGAGCTTGCCTGCCGGCACCTGTCACACAGGCGGCAGAGTCGGGCCCGGAGCCCAGGGCCCCTGAGTGTTGACCCCCAGGCCTTCCCACCAGTGATGGCATCACTCTCCTTAATGATATTTGACAGGAACGCACAGCAATGGTCGTTTAAGTTCAAAAACACAAAGTTGCATCTTAATCCATCACTGTGTGTGTGTGTGCGCGCGTGTGTGAGAGAGAGCTCTTTGACAAGTTACTCAACTTGCCTCAGATACTCATCAGTAAAATGGGAATTAAATATCTTGCCTGTGTAAGGGGGTGATAAACTGCAAACATGCCCCTCCCCCAACTCAGCCATGCTTGAGACTGACCGCAGCAGAGCATCAGGGGTCCCAGGGGCACCCACTCACCTGGACAGCCTGCGCCACCTCCCAGGGGCTGTCGGGTCGCGGCTGAGCTCTGCCCTAGGCTGCCCTGCTGAGCGACAGGACTCTGCAGCCTCTGAGTGAAGTGTGTCCTGGGGTCTGCTGCTGCGTTTCTTTCATTTCATATATTTACTTTAATTTATCTTTATCTTTACTGTTGAAAGTATTACAGATACCCCTCCTTTTTTCACCCATTGACACCCTCCTCCCCGCTCCCAACCCCCCACCTTCCCCACACTGTTGTCTGTGTCCACTGGTTGTGCACATGTGCATGGAAGTTCTTTGGTTTATCTCTTCCCACCCCCGCACCCCCTTCCCTCTGAGGTCTGTCAGTCTGTTCCCTACTTCCATGTCTCTGGATCTATTTTGCTTATTCCTAAAGCAAACAAAAACACTTCTTTTCTACCTGAATAGAAAAGGAACAGATGCTCTTTGTGGGAAATTTGGAAAACATAGAAAAGTATGAAGAAGAAAATAAGTCACTTATAATCCCACTAAAGATAATTACTATTAAAAATATTTTTTAAAGGTCACCACTATTGACATTTTACCAGTAGGTGGTGGTTGTTCTTTACTTTTTAAAGAAAAGTATGGCCACACGTTTCTTGCTTTTCTTTATCCTCCCATTTTTACATAACATTCGATTATATGGATTTTTCCACCCTTAAAATTGCTTCATAATTACCACTTTTAGTGCATTCCGTTTCATCCACAGACTCTCTCCTTGCTATCAGACATGCAGTTTGGGCACTGTTTTTTCAATGTTATAAATAATGCTGAGATGGACATATTTTCACCTGTCCTGCAATTTTTCACAATAAATATCTGAAATTTTTATTATTTTTCTGGAATCAATTTTTAGGTGTGGAATTGCATGCCCAAAAGGTATGAACAATTGCAAAGTGACTGGCTCTACAGCTTTCCAAGAGGGTTGCTCCCGTTTCAATTCCATGGGAAGAAGCGTGCAGGTCACTGGGCTTGTCTCGTTGCACCCCGCCCCCCACACACCTGGGTTTTAAAAATCACCTTCACCAGCGTGCGAGGTCCATGCTGGTTGTTCTTGGAGCGTTGGCTTCCCAGGTTCCTTCAAACAGAGGAATCCGCCCAGGGATAGCTGTTCACCTGGGTAAACGCTGGGTCTCCCGAGAAGGCACTACTAGGAGAAATCATTCAAATGTGAGGGAAAACAGAATTATAACCGAAGTAACATGGATGGCTTCTTCTGGGCTATCCAAACATTGTAAACGGATGTCTTACCCAGGTAGCGCCCTCCCCCGCACGAGGGTCGGCCACCACCTTGCACTCCCATGTTGACCTCAGGCTGCACACTCTGTGCTCCGAGTCTTATCCGCACATCATGAAGGCGGTGCTGGCGGGGAAAGTAAATTGGTTTCCCAGACAGTTTCATTAAGACCGTTCCGGGAGAGGAGCCGCTCCAAGTGGAGGCGCGGCTGGCCGGCTGGTGTGTTTGTTCTCCAGCACAATCAATAGTGTGTGGTCTGCTGAGTGTCACACGGATTGTACACCCTCCGCCTTCCTCTTCTAAGAGACGTACCTTTTGAGAGCCATTTAACTTTAAAAAAAGAGAAAGTTAAAACTCTTTGTTGAAAATTCAATTGGATGCTGCTGAAACCTACTTCTCCGGGTTCTGTTACGCGGCTGCACCTGACAGAGTTCCCCCCTGTGATAACTGGAACCACAGACCAGTCTGCTAACAGAACCCGCAGGGAGGGCCCCGCCAGGCCCGGATGCTGAGCTAATCCGGCCCTGCGGCCCACAGGAGACTAAAACAAATGCTGGGGGGGGGGGGGGGGGGGGGAATGAAAGGGATTCTGAACACCAGCCACCAGGCCTAAAAGACCTCAACCCCATTATTATTCAGAGGTTTTTGACTGGCCTTGTTAAAGTAAATTTTAATTCAAATTCATAGCTGCAGTTGCATTTTTAGAAACAGTCCAGGGCAGAAAAACAAACAAATGGTTCTAATTCTTGGTACAAAGTCTTGGGCAACTTCATTCCTGCTCACCACTGCTCACCTCCTCCCCTTCCCCCCCCACACAGTTCCACCCCCTCCTCACCACTGCTCACCTCCACCCCTCCCCCCACACTCAGTTCCACCCCCCTCCTCACCACCGCTCACCTCCACCCCTCCCCCTACACTCAGTTCCATCCCTCCTCCCACCACCGCTCACCTCCACCCCTTCCCCCCACACTCAGTTCCACTCCCTCCTCACCACCGCTCACCTCCACCCCTTCCCCCCACACTCAGTTCCACCCCCTCCTCACCACTGCTCACCTCCACCCCTCCCCCTACACTCAGTTCCATCCCTCCTCCCACCACCGCTCACCTCCACCCCTCCCCCCCACACTCAGTTCCACCCCCTCCTCACCACCACTCACCTCCACCCCTTCCCCCCACACTCAGTTCCACCCCCTCCTCACCACCGCTCCCCTCCACCCCTCCCACACACTCAGCGCCTGCTCATGGCCTCCCACTGAGGGCTGTGACACTGGGTGATGGGTGCAAGGACGTTTCCAGTCTTTACAACCTGCCAGGACTTTCTGAGTGTCCCAGGCTTTCTTGCCTTAGCCCCTGTTGCCTCAGTTTACATGAACAATATCCATCAGTGGAAGGGAAGACAGCTCCTTAAGTAGTCTTCCCTTAGGTTGGATGAAATCTAAAAACATGCCTGAGTCAGCCATTCCATACTTGTTTATTTGCTTGTCAGCTTGGTATTTGTTTTTATTTCCATTTTCTTAATTCCACTTCTAGCAAAGGATGATGATAACATGAGTTCTAATTTGCTGTCAGCTCCACCATCAGAAAAAAATACAATGAAACTTCTCCCAACAAAGGAAGACTTTACCCTAGAATCAAACTAAAAATTATTCAGTGCACATGGGGCCTATATTAGTTTCTTGGAACCAAAATTGTATATTAGCAAAAATAGTCCATTAACGTTTTGCTTGTTAATTATCCAGTGTTTAATTCCGAGTCCTAGTATCAAACCCACGGGGATTAAATACACACAAATGGCTCCTAAAAACGGTTCGGTCTTTCTTGGGGAAGAAAAATGTCTTTGCCACCAGGGCAAGGAATCCGTTATTCTGTGTAGCTTTGGAAGAGAGATCACACGTTTTCTTATTGATTTTACTTCCTATTTGGTAGCAAAATAATGTGAGAAGAGGTAGTGAACGCTCCTGGCAGTGAGCCCAGACGGTAAAAAATATGTGTCGGGACATTTCTGAATTCCGTCCTTTTCCCGGAGATGTCGTGGCAGACAGCTGTGCGCCGTACACCGGGGACGCAGCACGAGGGGCTCTTTGAGAGCCCGCCCTCCAACAACCCCTCACTCACCAGCACCAACCTCGGTTCCCGATGTGTGCTTGGAATCGCTAAGCTCTGCCCCACAGCCAGGGTGGACCCAGCCAACAACCCTGGAATCTGCCATGGAGGTCCAGGCAGGCGCTGTGGCAGCCATGGTCCCGTGTGTCCTTGTTACAAAGGGGCAGGGAAGGGGCTCGTGTCTTTCTGGTGAAGGTGGGGGAATGGGGAGGGATTTTGAAGAACTACATTGTGCCTAACTTGACCGGAAACCATCTGGACTGTCTCTGTGCCCTCAGGCAACATCAGGAACACCGAGAAGCTGAGCTACGACAAGCAGCACCAGTACGAGATCCTGGTGACGGCCTACGACTGCGGCCAGAAGCCGGCCGCTCAGGACACCCTGGTGCAGGTGGACGTGAAGCCCGTGTGCAAGCCCGGCTGGCAAGGTGGGTCTGCTGTTGTCAGTCCTGTGGTCAAGGCAGCTTGCCCGGGGCACAGATGCTGCCAGACCTGTCCTCAGATCATCACAACACGTAACTAGAGGGAAGTTCAAAGGGCAGTCACTCTGCTACAAGAATCAGAGTAGCTTGTTTATTCACACAACTCCCGGGGGATGTATTATCTCCATCTTACAGGTGAGAATGTTCGGGGTGACTTGTCTAATGTCACATACCCAGTTCGTCCAGGGTGCTCTTTCTCCAAGCTCGTGACACCTTTGGATCAATACTGATTATCCACAGTGCTCCACGGGAATGGCCAGCCAGCCCGTTCACTGTATGCGCCGAACCTCGCTGGTGCGTTTCCAGTGTTGCATCATTGCCCAACCCCCGGGGAAGGTTGGGCTTGCACAGAGAGCATCCAGGCAGAGGCTGCAGATCTAGAATCCAACTTCTGGATTAAGGGGTTTCTAACACGTTGGCTCTGGGAATGGTGAAACAATGGTCTTGGATGGCGGTGGATTTCTGTGCTCATTTAAATCGCTTAGGATGCAGGGACAGAACAGAGGTTCAGGTGACCCTGAGATGGTGGAGGCTTGTCACTGACTAAGGGGGAACAGGGAGGCAAGGCCAGCTACACAGGTGACCTTGCAGGGAGCTGGACGGCTCGTGGAATAGCAGCGGCCCCCATGGTGCCATCGGTGGTTCCTGTGGCAGGCGGGGATGCTAGCGTGGCCTCTGGGCCAGCATTTTGGTGGCTCAGCTGCTCCTGTTTTGCTCCATGTGTGATGCTACGGTAAACCACTGCTATCCACAGCTCATGGTGCTTCTTGGAGTCCTCCACTTTGTGGCTTCTGTTTATTGCCTTCTCTTGGTGTGTTGTAAGCTTCAGGCCCCCTGCTATAGTCTCATTCTCTGTGTGTGTGTGTGTGTGTGTGTGTGTGTGTGTGTGTGTAGGGGGGGAGTATCTTTCATTCTTAAATTCCCCTATAGAGGGTGTGATTCACTGTGTAAGTCACTCACATCCCTGTGGGGCGGACTGACCCCAGGCCACTGGCCAGGCTCCGAATGTCTGCCTTTTAGTCAGGCGTTTATTCCTAATCCAGTTTATTGGGGGCAGATTAGCAAGACCTCAGGGTGCAAAGCAAGGACACCTGGGGTCCCGACCCTCAGAAGGCAGCTCTCAAAGTGCTCTTCCCTGCACACCCACCCGCTTCGTCTTTTCTCTGAAAGGCGGGGAGGGGTAGGCAACCCACAGAGTGAGAGTCATTTGCCTTTGAACAAAGAGAAGATGATCTCAGTAAGACATATGGGACATGAAGAACAAAGTAAAGCCATCATGATGTCAGTCTCTTTAGGATGCAGCAGGAAACAGAGACCGAGGGACAAGCCAGAGTGGGAAACTGAGTTCCTAACCTCGGGAAGCCTGAGCTCGGGCTGGGGATAATCCACTCGGCCCTAAGGACCCTGAGGGCAACATTCTGCCTCTCTTGTTCACCACTGAACTCCTCAGGCTCAGCACATGTCTGGCCCCCATAGTAGGTGCTCAAGAAATAGTCATTGAATGAATGAATGAATGAATGAATGAACGGACAAACGAACAAATGAGCTACCTGTGTGAAGAATTCACCTTGTTTTATTTTAATTTTATAAATTATAGGACTGGTGCCCGTGAAGGTCTCGCTTTTGAAGAGAAAGCCTGGAAAGAATATAAAATCTGTCTCCGCATGAAATAAGCTCACAATGGGAGTTTAAGTGGGGAAAGCAAAACAAAGCTTTATCTGGAGAAGGGTCCCAATGGTTTTTGTCTTTGATAAATGAGACACTGATGATTTGGGATTACATTTTTGTAACGATATTTAAGTGTAATTTTCTAACAGAGTGTGTGCTTGTTTCAGTGTTAAATGGAGGCAAAGATAAACATTTTAATGATGCTCAGTTCTGTGTGGGGCACCTCCCCTCTTGTGCATGATGCTATCTGCAGTTCCAGACAGTGATCTCCTGAAGGCAGAGAGGGTGCCCATTCGTTGTGTCTCCAGCAGCCAGCACGAGGCCAGGCACAATGCAGGTGATTGGCGAGTGTTGAATGGAAGAATGAACGGTGAGGCCTTGGTAAAAAATATAACTTTCCGTGGCACAGAGAAGAGAGAAGCAGAAACTCCATGCATCAGTTCACCATGTCAAGGGAAGTGATTTAAGCATGTGTAACAACAGGATCAACTACTTTCTGGTGGCTGCCCTGCCTAACTTAGCCAGCCTTTGGTGGCAGAGCTGACATCGGATTCTGCATCATGCCCTTTCTTCCTCCAGCTTACCCCTAGAGACAGTGAGTCCCTCTCCCAATCATTGGCCCAGCAGGCTTCAGATCACAGGTGCTCCTGGTTCTCAGACAGGTGTAGGCAAGGTCAAAGGGCCTTCCTGCCGTTCCTGTCTCAGCGCCCAGACCTCGAGAAGTATCTTCTCCTTCCAGCATGCTAGTCCCCTGTATCCCTCCACCTGGGCAGCCGTCATCTCCGACCAACCCATCTCGGGCCCTGTTCTCCCTTCCCCCTTGGCCCGGGCCGCAGCCTTGAAGCTGAAAGCACACCTTTCTCCAGCGACAAGCAAACCACCACTGGCCCCGGCTGTTTCTTGTCCAGCCCCCTCTCACAGTGTTGTCGGGCAAACGAGTGGGCCGTGTTTTACTGGTTCTTTGCTAATCTCAGATGAAGGAGGCTGCCCCTCGCTCTGAGGGGTTGTCAGGTCCGGGGGTTCTTGAAGCCGGTGTGGGGTGAAGCCTGCAGAGTGAAGAAGGGGAGAAGCAGGGAGAGCGGGGGCCATTCCGGGCACCAGTGAACAATATAAGGGAGCCAGTCTGGTTTGGGTTGGGACTGAGGAGGAGTGGGAAGCAAGATTGGAGGTCAGGGGTAGGGTAGGGCGGGCAGTCAAGGTTATGAATGCCGGGGGAGGAGCTGCAATAATCCCCGAACTCTTCAGAGCCAGCTGTGACTGACAGGCGTGCGGGCGGGCGCCAGGTATCGCTGTCTGGGACAGAGGTTCCTCCCTGAGCAGACTTCTCGCAGGCAACCCGAGTTGCCATGCGAATGCAGTTTGGCAGTTCAGATTCTTGTACCTTCCAAGTCATTTCCCTACGGGCAGGAGGCTCCCTTCCTTTCGGGAGCCTCCTGGCTCCCCTGAGCGCTCCAGTCAGCTTCTCCCAGCCAGCTGCCCGGAGGAGCAAGAGGTCCTCCCGCACCCAGAACTTCCCAGGACTTGATGAGGGGCTGCTCCGACTCCAGAAAGGCCCAGAGCAGCGGCCCCATTTCCGTCCCAGCCTTTCCCAGCATGCTGCTGGCCTTCCCCGCACTGGGCACAGATAGACGGGCATCCCGGACCCTAGGTCTGCTGCCACCTGCCTTTCCCTCCTTGGCCAAAGCGCCTGCACTTGGGCTATGGTTTTCTGTGCTCTGTCTCCTTTGTGCGTTGGTCTTATCTCCCCAGAAACAATTCGGGTCCCTGAGGGCAGAGCCGTGCTCCTCACCGCCCCTGGCACGCACTCGGCTCTGCATCCCTCACACGGCAGAAACGGAAGGTGTGCTTCCCGACACCACGCGCCAGTGTCGGAGCGGGCATGTCGGGAGGAAGGCGAGCTTGGCATCCAGAAAATGGCCCCAGGGTGCCGCCGCATGCTGTGTTGCTGTTCTGTGAGTCCTGTCTTCTCTGCTGTATGCTGAGATGGAAACTGCATAGGTGGCGAGGGTCCGCTCACTCTGCGGGGCTGGGGGGGTTTTATCGGGGCGCCACCCCACTCGCAGTTGCCCAGAGTCCTCAAGGCCTCAGCTAGACCTGCGTGCGTGGAAGCGGGAACTAAATTCTCTGTTCTGTCCTGAGCTTTGAGAACTCAGGGCCCCTGTAGGCACCTCACGTCCAAGGAGATGAAAGATGATGGTAGGAATCAGGAAAGGGGGGCACCCACCGCAGGCCCTGCGCTCAGGACAGGCTGGAGTCCTGCCTCTGCCAGGCGTCTGGATTAGCAGCCTTCTTGGGGTCTGTCGTCCTTTTGCCAAGCGGTAGTGAATACCCAGGCCTGGGCCCACGTGTGCTCTGAGGACTTCCTTCAGGAAGCTCACATCCTCTGTGACCAGAGCCCACGGGATGCGGTGCCCTCGGAGGCTGTCTGGGCATTGCGGCCGCAGCTGCGGCGGAACCAGGTGGAGACGACCCTGCTGACTCTCCTCTTGGGGCCATGGACTGTCCAAGGGGTCGTTTGTGATTAGCTGCTAGTTTGGGTTGTTTTGTTTGTTTGGTTATGTCATGTCATGTCATGTCAGTTACGTTAGGAGACACATTTCTCCTTTATGCCTTTCTTTTTTGTTGTTATTGTTTTATTTAATTTAATTTATTTATTTATTTTTGTTAATTTAATTAATTAATTTATTTGTTATTGTTATTTATTTTTGTTTCTCCTTTTTCCCCCACTGATTCCCCCTCCCTCCCCGCCCTCTCCCCAGCCTTGTTGTCCATGTCCACTGTTCATGCACACATGCATATAAGTTCTGTGGTTTATCTCTCCCCTACCACCTCCTCCTCTGGGAATTGTCAGTCTGTACCCCACTTCCACGTCTCTGGGACTACCCCATTCCTCAGACTGTTATGTTCATTATATTCCACAAGTAAGTGAGATCATATGATACTTGTCTTTCTCTGTTTGGCTTGTTTCGCTTAGGATGACACTTTCCAGGTCCCTCCGTGTCATCTCAAAGGATAAGAGATCTTTCTTTCTTACAGTTGCATAGTATTCCATTGTGTATATGTACCACGGCTTTTTTATCCATTCGTCTACTGATGGACATTTGGGCTGTTTCCAGATCTTAGCTATTGTAAATAGTGCTGCTATGAACATGGGGGTACATATATTCTTTCTGATTGGTGTTTCAGGCTTCTTAGGGTATATTCCTAGAAGTGGGATCACTGGGTCAAATGGAAGTTCAATTTTTAATTTTTTGAGGTAACACCATATTGTTTTCCAT